TCTCTCTCTCTCTCTCTGTCTTTCTCTTGCTCTCGCTCTCACGCTCCCTCTCCCTCTCGCTCTTACTCTTGCTCTGGCTCTTGCTCTCACTCTCACTCTCTCTTGCTTTTTCTGCTCAGCTCTTTTTATTTTTGGCCACAAAGTCTCACTACGTAGTCTAGGCTGACCTGGAACTTGGCATCCTCCTGCCTTAGCCTCCCAACTGCTGGGATCACAGGCCTGTAACTTGGCACCCAGCCTGAGCATCTTTTGGGAACTTCACATCCCTTCTCAGCTCCTCCCCACCTTAACACTGGGGAACCTGCTACAACTGTTCTCCCCAGGGTCTAGGTGCACAGAGTACAGGTGAGTTTTATTATTTTTGTGTTTGCTTTCCTGTGCAGAGTGCCTGGGTCCTTGGTTTTTCCAAAGGTAGCTCAACCAAAAGTCAACATCACCCTCTATAGGGTGAGATGTGGCTGGTGTCTCCGAAAGTGCTGCATAGGCAGTCCAGGTGAGGGGCTCCCAGCACACATCAGAGCCCTTGAGCCTGGCAGAGTCCCAAAACTCCATGTCACATGGCATCACAGCTCCTTGAATCATGGAGCAGTCTTGCACACAGTAAGTGTTCAATAAATGCCCTCTCCTCTCCTCCTAACTGTCACCTGTGCAGATCTAGGGGCCCTGCCACACCAACCCCCAATACCACTAGCCTTCAGGCCTTTCCAGGGAGGTCCAGATGGGAAGAGAATGAAGAGGACCTGAGGGTTGCTATGGAGACAGTGGGCTAACCCCTGGGACCAGCAAGGACAGGGTGGGGTAGGCATGGGCCTCAGCCTCACCAGGACCATGATGTTGGGTAGCACAATGTAGTCATTCTCAGAGCCCCGGGACATGTTGGGCTGGAAATGTAGACTGCGATGTTCCACAAAGGAGACGGTGTCGTTGTTGTTGAAGGTGATATTGGTCTTATGTTTGAACTCCCTGTGGGGAAGCATCAGGTCAGCTGGGCCTTGAGGTTGCATGGGTGCTCCCAGCAGCTCCCTGGGAAGCCAGAGATCTCAGGGTGTTGGTGCATCATCATCCAACAGCACCAGGGCAGGCATGCTACCTCCTGTGTGTATACCCACCTGCCTGTGGTACAGAGACTTTCTCTGCTCTCACCGCCACAGCCTCTCCAGAGAGAACCTTAAACTCCTGTCCCTTCCCTCCACCTGGTACCCAGCACCCAGCAGGATTCCATACCTCTACTTCCAAGCAGCCCTGTTCCCTCAAGCAAAGCCCAGACATAGTGGTTAGGAGCAGGCCGAAGGCCAGGCTGGAATCCCACCTGTGCCTCAGTTTCCCACTTGTAAATGGGCTAACAAGACCTACTTTGGGGCTAGGAGTGTGGCTCAGTGGTAGAGCACTTGCCTGGCATGTGCAAGGCCCTGGGTTCCAGCCTCAGCACTACCAAAAAATAATTTTTAAAAGACCTACTTTGTAGGGCGTGCTCTGAGGATGAAACAGGTTAACATGGAAAGTCATCGGAAGAGCCAGGGAGCAGCAGCTAGGTAATCCCAGCAGAGAAACAGAGGCAGGAGGATTGAGTCTGAGGCCTGCCTGGGCTATGTCCCTGTCCCAGTGGGACCTTTGCACGTTCTTCAAGGCCCTCCTCCCTCCTGCATCCAGCAACTGCCCCTTTGCCAAGGTCCTCCCTGATCTTTTACTGGCCCCTGCCTGTTGCCACCCTCCCTCCAGTCAGCCTGGCTTCCCTGGTTGATTTCCTTAGCTTAATTCTTATCTGTCCCCTGACTTGTTCTCACTCTTAGCTCTGCAAGGCAAGGCCCCTGTCTGTGAGCCAGGGTGCTCCCATAGTGGACAGTGCAGAGCCTAGCATATAACAGGTGCTCAAGAAATGCTTGTGAAACGAAGGGCCAAGTGACAGGCTAACTTCTAGCATTTACTGAGCACCTGCTACATGCCAGGCACTCAGTTTAGAGGCTCATACTAACCATCCCACCTGGTCCTTGCACCCACCCGCAGTGAGTACTGCTATCCCCATCAACTGCTATCCTCACCTTATAGATGGGGAAACTGAGGCATAGGGAAGTAAATTCCTTGTCCAGGGCAGAGGGCAATGTGGTCACTGGGAGTCCACAATTTCAAACTTGAGAGCCCTGGATTGAGACATGTGTCCATGAACGAGCCCTCTGGGGCCTCAGTTGGCTCATGTGTCAGATGAGACAGTAACATTCCCCTCAGCAGGTCACTGCACCCACAGGAGGCCCAGGCCCTGCAGCTCTGTGCCCCAGGGCACCTGCATCTGTTTGTGTTACCTGCTTTTACCCCAGGACCTTTGTGCTGCCTGTCCCACAATCCCAGGGCCACATGGCTCCCTCCCATCCCTGAAGCTGTGTCTTCATCTCCCACAGCCCCACACAGGCTACCCAAGGCCCTCCATACTCCCCATCCCCTCCCTGCTCACTTCTTAGGTGCCATGCTAACTGATTTTACTTATGCATCTTCATTTAACTTTCCCGACTCAATGATAGTTTTGTCCATTTCATGCCCTCCTGTGTTCTCTGTGCCCCTTCTACAAACTTCATACACATACATGCATGTCAGCACCCTCCCCACGCCCATGCACGCATGCACTCCCTTTTCTGTACCTGACCAGCCTCTAGAACAATCTCTGAGGCTCAGCACAGCAGTGCTCCAAACCCAGCCATCCTCACCTGTACACATAGGGTCCCCGTTCCCGCAGCTGTGGCTTCTGGCCATTCAGGACCTCAGTGGGATTGACGACCTCAAACAAATAGATGGAGAGGTAGAAGGGGACGGGGATCTCCTTCCACATCCCAAAGGCCAGGCTGTTGGGGTCTATGCGCACATTCTGCAGGGAGAAGCACATGGGGAAGAAGGTGAGGAAGAGGGGGAGCTGCCCAACCTCAAGGATTCAGAACAGCTGCCTAATACCGGACTGCACCAAGGGCCCATAGGCGCATTGGAGGAGGCACTCCTCAGAGAAGGCACTCCTTGGACTGGAGCCTTGCAGGGGTAGCTGTGGCTCAGGCTCAGGGGCAGTACTTGGGCTGTGTAGGAAGGTGGGCTGTGTGGCCAGGACAGAATCCATCCATCCATCCATTCAGTCACTCATTCATTCATCCATTCATTCATATGTTCACTCATTCATTTGTTCATCTAATTCATTCATTCATTCATTCATTCATTCATTCAGCAATCCTGTCCTGAGCAGCTACTCATTTCCAGGGAGGGTTCCAGGAGTGGGAGACAGGAAAGGAAACAAGACAAACTGTCTCTGGCCTTGTGGGGCTTTTATCATATCAGGGGAGCATGGGGCTGACAGAGAGAGGGAACCCATGTTGTGTAAGGGTATTAGAGAATAAGAAATGAGAAGGAAGGACTTGAATTCAGGACAGTCATCAGCAAGGAGAAAGGGAAAAAGACAAAGCAAGTTGGGGATGTAGCTCAGGTGGCAGAGCACTCACGGAGCATGCACAAGGTCCTGGGTTCATCCCCAGCACCATGTAAACCAGGCATGGTGGTGTATGCCTGACATCCCAACACCTGGGAGGCTGAAGTAGGAGGACGGTGACTTTGAGGTTAGCCTGGGCTACATAGTGAGACCCTGTCTCAAACAAAACAAAACCACCTACTTTCTCAGATGCCAGAAGGAAAAGGCGGGCCATTCCTGGTCTCTGACCTCTGCTTTGCCATAGAGGGAATCACCAAGGAAACCCTGGCCCCCAGCCCATCAGAAAGAGTGACATCCAAAGACCAGGTCTCCTTGTATCACCTCCCACTGTCTTTGAACTTGATCTTCCAGGACAAGGACAGCCACCTCCACTGTCCCCAAATAGCCAGAACCAAGAGGTCAAGGACCCAGAAAGAGGCGCTAGGCTGGGAGCTGGCTGGTCAGGTAGAGAGCCCTGTGTCCCAGAAAGAAGAGACCCCAAGGCAGGCAGATACTGGGTCACATGCTCCTGTGTGGAGTCGGCCTCTCTGGGCCTCAGTTTGTCCTTGGGCACCACAGGGCCAGGGTCACTGGAGCCATGGCTGGGTCTAGACTTTGGCCTCTGCAGGACTTGAGTAAAGAAAAGCAAATCCACTGCTGAGAGCGATTCCAACCTAAGAAAGATAGCTCTGAGCCTCTGTCAGAGGTGCTGACTGTGTAGCTGTTCATTGATATACATAACTTCCTACAACTGTGAGTGCTACAGGGTCACCCATAGCCCACACGTTCAGCACAAACAGTATCTTGGCAACAGTGGGTCAAATGTCCCCAGGGTGCCCTGCACTAAGCCTTACCCTCTGCTGCACCTCCTGCTTCTGGCCAGCACTACAGCCCTATAGGCAGCCACTGTTACTGTCACTCTTCCCTAATGACACGGGGTCTCGGCATAGAGCACTGGGAGGTTTAAATGAGTGTCAGTGGGGGAAGGTACCAGGACAGGGTCAGGCAGACCCCAGCATCCTTGCTGTCACCAGGTGGAAAGTGACCCTCCCCCTCTGCCCCACATCCATCCAGGTGAGTGGACTCTGCCCCACTGTGACCACAGGATTGCTTTCCTTCAGTCACAGAGACCAGAGACACCAGGACTGGCTGATTAGATAACAGGGCTGTGAAGCATAAGGCCTTCTGCCAAACACAGCTGATTCTGTCACTCTGTCCCTGTCCCCCTCCCAAGGCCAAAGATCATAGCCCAAGGACAGAGATGAAGAGAAAACCAAGATGAGTCCTATGGACAGCACTGTATCCTACCACCCCATGGACCCCCCAAGTCTGGCAGGTGGGAAGGCAGCCAGAAGGGGACAGCTAGACTGGGTATTAAAAACTGCATCTTGAGCTGGGGAAATGACTCAGTGGATAAAGTGCTTGTCTGAGTTTGAGCCCCAGAGCCCATGTAAAGAAGCCAGGCCTGATAGTCCTGGAGGGGCAGAGATGGGAGACTCCCTGGGGCTTACTGGCCAGCTGGCCTAACCTAACCAGCAAGTTCCAGATGAGTGAGAGACCCTTTTTCAAAACACAAGGTGGACAGCACCCAAGATTGACCTTTGGCTTCTGTGTGCAAACACATGCACACACACTGCATCAAGAGAAAAAGCCAGCCAGGTGTAGTGGTGCACACCTTTAATCCCAGCACTCGGGAGACAGAGGCAGGTATATCTCTGTGAGATCAAATCCAGTCTGGTCTAAATAGTGAGTTCTGGGCCAGTTGGGGCTACAGGGAGACCTTGTCTTAAAAAGAAAAGACAAGAAGAAAGAGAGAGCGAGAGCGAGCGAGCGAGAGAAAGAGAGAGAGAGAGAGATCTACTGTTTTATAAACTACACACACAGAGTTTAAATGGAGTTTCTTACATGAATGATAATGCTCCTCCCAGTGCTAGGTGTGGGATACCTCCCCTCAAATTCTTGGTTGGGGAGGTCCCAGAGACTCTTAAAAACAATACAGGCTATTGCCCACCAGAACTTGATGGTAAGACCCTATTGCTGAAGACAACACATACTTTGGTTTCAGGACTTGGAGAAATCAAGCTAATACTGATCTAGAAGATTCCTCTTTGCTGGATAGCTTTCATAGTACCAGAAGGTGCTATGCCAGCCACTGATGGAGAAAAAAACTGGCCTGGCAAAAGACGTCCATTGTTGCAACAGTGGCATGAATGTCATGGGGGTAACCAACTAGTTTCTGACTGGATTTAAGGCCCACTCCACAGGAGGAAACATATGCCTGGTACTGTAAATATAGCCAAGAACCCATGACTTGGAAGCTCATAGGTCATAGGGATGAACCTACTAGTATTATTTTGCTAAATGGATATAGTATCAACTGCCCCCCCACCCATGCATATGGGCAGCACTAATTGAAATCAAAGGGTAATTTTATTTTATTTTATTTTTATTTTAAATGCTTTATTTGGATTGCAAGCGTTTTTTGTTGTTGTTGTTGTTGTTGTTTTTGTTTTTTAAATGAACAAAGGGTAATTTTTAAAAAAGTCAGAAGCAGGCAGATCTCTGTGAGTTCAAGGCCAGCCTGGTCTACATAGTGAGTTCCAGGACAACTGGGGCTACAGGGAGACCCTGCTTCAAAAAGACAAAAAAGAAAAAGGAAAAAAAAGAGAACAAAAAGTTTGGAGGGAGACATGGGATGATCTAACAGGAGCTGGGAGGAGGAGTAAATGGGGTTGAAATATATTGAATGCATGTATGAATTCTCAAAGAATAAACTAAAATATTATATTAAAAAGAAAAGAAAAGATGCAGGTAAGGGCTGAGCAAGTGGCTGGGTGGAAGAGAGCTGGCTTAACATATACAAAGCCCTGGGTTCAATCCCCAGCACCACAATAAAATAAAATGTTAAGAAAAATACATCAAGAGCTGGGTGTGGGGGTGCATGCCGATCACCTCCAACACTCAGGAGACTGAGGCAGAAGGCATGCAAGCCGACAGCCAGTCTGAGCTGACTAGCAAGAGCCTGTCGCATAAGAACGACAAAACAAAACAAAGACAGAAAAGCCTTGAACAAAGACAGGAAAAGGTCCTGGGAGGGAGGTCCTAGGTGAGGAGGTCCTGGTCCTGGAAAAGGCTGGGGGCTTCTGGGGGAGTGCCTGGTCTCTGGTCCACCTGTGACAGGGTATTTGAAAAACGAGACTCTAGGAACCATCTTGAGGAGCTGAGAGATTATCAACCGGCCACAGCAAAATAGGACGGGCCTTGTGCTCATAATTCTGTCTGTGGGACACATGGAAAAGGGGAAATGGCAAACAGCAGGGGTGCACCCCATCCATTGGTGCCAGGGACTGGGGGCTGAGGGGGCCAATTAAATCAGTTCAATCCCCAGAACCCAATAACCAGGGTGCAGATGACATAAGCCTGTAATTCCAGCACTCAGAGGTAAAGACAGGAAGACCAGGAATTCAAGGTCATCCTCAGCTACATAGTGAGTTCAAAGCCAGCCTGGACAAATAAGATCCTGTCTCAAAAAGAAGGAAAGAGAAAATAAGAAATGTAAAAAGAAGAAAAGTTAAGAAAAGAAGAAAAATGTAATGTAGTCCTATTGGGGCAGAGGCTACGAATCCAAGAGCACGCAGGCCCTATGGGTCCTGCTGTGTGAAGTTCTAGACAGGTAAGGCTGGCATGTCTCAGAGTGCTTTTTAAAAAAATGTGTGTGTGCGTGTGTGTGTGTGCTATGGAGCACATGTGTGAGGTCAGAAGACAACTTGCAAGAGTTAGTTCTCTCCTTTCACCATGTGGGTCTCAGGGATAGAACTCAGGTCATCAGCTTGGTGGTAAGCACCTTTACTCACCGAGCCATCTTACTGGCCCTCAACAGAGGTTTTGTGGGGCTTTTACATGGGTTCTGGAGAGCAAACTCAAGGCCTCATGCACAGCAAGCACTTCACTGACTGAGCTGCCTCCCCAGCCCCTAAGTGGCAAAGACAAGTTCTACCTGAACTAAAACGCACCCGCAATTTTTTTTTTTTTTTTTTGAGATAGGGTCTCTCTGTAGCCGTAGCGTGTCTGGAACTTGCTATGCAGATCAGGCTGGCCTTGGTCTCACAGAGATCTGCCTGCTTCTGTCTCTGAGTACTAGGATTAAAGGCATGTACCATCATGCCTGGCTCACCCACAGTTTTTAAAAGATAAACTGTTAAGTAGGATATAATTTCTAAACAATTATGCAAAAATCAAGACACCCAAGAAAACCAAGTGGCGGCAAAACTGTTTGGAAACGGAGTCTGTGGATCCTGGGAAGCCCCAGAGCACTGGCACTGGGCACTTTGAAGCATGTCAGGATCTCCTGCCTGGAACAGCACCCAGAACACCAATTTCCAAACCACTGGCCACCCAGGGCCACCTGCCCCAAACAC